CCTTTGGCATCACCTGGGCCGGCCCGCGGCTCCGGGCCTGCCCCTCCGGCCTGCTCACGCTGCCCTCCCTTCTCCGGCCAGGGGGAGGCACTGAGCAAGCTGAAGGCCCTGAACGACTTTGTCAAAGTGAGCTCCCAGAAGAGCCCCAAGCCGCAGACCAAGGAGCTGATGCACCTGTGCATGCGCCAGGAGACCTACCTGGAGGCCCTGTCCCACCTGCAGTCCCCGCTGGACCCCAGGATCCTGCTGGCGGAAGTCTGGTGAGCCCCAGCGCAGGCCTCCCCCGCCCCCAGGGGCCTCGAGGGGCCCTGCTGACCGCCCTCTCCCGCAGCGTGGAGCAGTGCACCTTCATGGACTCCAAGATGAAGCCGCTGTGGGTCATGTACAGCAACGAGGAGGCGGGCGGCGACGGCAGCGTGGGCATCATCTTTAAGAACGGGGACGGTGAGCGGCCGGGCCTCCCCACCTGCACTGCCCCGGGGTCCCTGGAGGGTGAGCCAAGCAGAAGTCCGGGAACGCTGGGGCCTAGGCATGGCTGGGAGTGCGGAACCCTCCAGAAACTCATGCTTTTCTTCCGGGGCCGGCGGCACAGACCTCCGCCAGGACATGCTGACGCTGCAGATGATCCAGCTCATGGACATCCTGTGGAAGCAGGAGGGGCTGGACCTGAGGTGAGGAGCCCCCTCATCCGTCTGTGCCTGCACCAGGCTGGGGCCCTGTCCCTTTGGAGGGGCTTCCTGTCAGCGCTGACATAACCGCCTCCGGAGAAATGGCTGTTCTGAGACGATCGGGACCAGTTTCAACTCGGGCCAGAGGGGCGATAGGGCCACAGGCTGAGGGTGGAGAAGGCCGGCCTGGTGCTCAGCCTCCGTCTCACCGGCGCGTACGCGCTGTGCCCGCACGTCCCTGGCTTCTCGCCCCCCCGCCTCCCGGCCCCATGCCTCCTCTCTGAGCAAAGGAGCTCAGCCGGTGCCGACCGCCTGCATCTTGCTGCTGTGCCGACCCATCCAGCAGCCCTCCCCCGCCCAGGAGTCGCGGGCTCCTCCCAGCCGCTGCTGCTTCCCCTCATTTCCAACCACTCGAGGAGCGTCTCCTGTGCCTGTTTGGGTGTGCTGAGCTCCTCGGTGGTCAGGCCACTCCAGGACCGCCCTTGACCATTGCCCGCCCTCCTCCCGCCCGCCTAGGATGACCCCCTACGGCTGCCTCTCCACCGGGGACCGCACGGGCCTCATCGAGGTGGTGCTTCGCTCGGACACCATCGCCAACATCCAGCTCAACAAGAGCAACATGGCAGCCACGGCCGCTTTCAACAAGGACGCCTTGCTCAACTGGCTCAAGTCCAAGAACCCTGGGTAGGTCTCAGGCCGGGGGGACCAGTGTCCTTCCTCCCCGGGAGGCGAGATTCCGGAGGCAAAGGTGAAGGGACAGGCCTGTGACGTCTCTGTGGCGTTCGGCTCAGCCAGGGACCGCCCGGGTCTGTGTTGGGGTGAGGGGGGGCTCCGTGCCCCCATGTATCCGTTACCCATTGCTGTGTAACAACCATCCTCAACTCAGGGATGCAAAACAGCCTTCATTGACTGTGGGCTCAGAAAGCTGCCACTTGACCTGGCTCAGCCAAATGGCTCCGCCGGGACCACTCCTGCAGCTGCTGCCATCTGGGCGCTCGCTGGGCCTGGAGGGTGGCATGCCTGGGCCCCGGTGCCACCTCCTGCCTCGCTCCTCACTGCAGCAGGGAAGACTCGGGAGCTGCAGGGCTAGGCCGTGGTTTCCAATCTCCCCTCCTCCTACCCAGGGAGGCCCTGGACAGGGCCATTGAGGAGTTCACCCTCTCCTGCGCCGGCTACTGTGTGGCCACGTACGTGCTGGGCATCGGCGACCGGCACAGCGACAACATCATGATCCGCGAGAACGGGCAGGTAGGGGCAGCGGGGGGCTGACTTGTGGGCAGCACCCGCCTTCTGGCCCCTGCCCTGGCCTTTCTGGCTCCTTCTCAGTCTGTGCCCGTCCCTTCCGCCCCTCAGCTGTTCCACATTGATTTTGGCCACTTTCTGGGGAATTTCAAGACCAAGTTTGGAATCAACCGTGAGCGAGTCCCATTCATCCTCACCTATGACTTTGTCCACGTAATTCAGCAGGGGAAGACTAACAACAGTGAGAAGTTTGAAAGGTGAGGGTGCCTCAGACACCCCCACCCCAAATGCCCCTGGGTCCCAGACAGGGTGCCGAGAGGGGGCTCTCCGCCCACCCCTGGAGGGTCCTGTAGGAGGAGCCAGGCTGGGGGTGGGGACTGTGTCTGGGGCTGTCTCTAGGCAACGGGTCTGGGTGGGAGTTACCAGGAGGACCCAGGGCCGCCTCCCGCCTCCGCCTCCCGTGCAGGTTCCGTGGCTACTGCGAGAGAGCCTACACCATCCTGAGGCGCCACGGGCTGCTCTTCCTCCACCTCTTCGCCCTGATGCGGGCGGCAGGCCTGCCAGAGCTCAGCTGCTCCAAAGACATCCAGTATCTCAAGGTAAAGGCCAGGGCAGGCCGCCGGCCAGGTGACAGCGGTGCCCCACGCCCCAGGCCTGTCTCCCCGCAGTGTGACCCAGGGGACCTGCCCCCGAGAGTGGTGGGCCACGCGGGGCACTCCTGATTGTTTCTCAGCAGCGGGCCTGGTGGACGCGGCGGAGGGAGCCGGGCCCTGTGCCAGTGGGCATCTTGTTTTGAGGCTGGGGCTAGGGCAGTGGTTCTCAACCTTCCTAATGCTGCGACCCCTTTAATACAGTTCCTCATGTTGTGGTGACCCCCAACCATAACATTATTTTTCATTGCTACTTCATAACTGTAATTTTGCTACTGTTATGAATCGTCATGTATCTGATATGCAGGATGTATTTCCATTGTTACAAATTGAACATAATGAAAGCATCGTGATTAATCACAAAAACAATATGTAATTACATATGTGTTTTCCGATGGTCTTAGGCGACCCCTGTGAAAGGGTCATTCGACCCCCAAAGGGGTCGCGACCCACAGGTTGAGAACCGCTGGTCTAGGGGCCTGTCTAGTTTGGGATCAGCATGAGAGCTCTTCCCAAGGGAGATGCTGGGGGCCACCCCCTCACTCTTTTCACACAGGTCTCCTTGGAGGGAGCTGAAAATACCCAGAGAGGGGAGGCAGGGGAGGCAGGAGGGGGGGCCTCACTGAGCAGGCCCAGGCTCAGTGCCCCGCGGTTCTGCCTCAGGACTCGCTGGCGCTGGGGAAAACGGAGGAGGAGGCGCTGAAGCACTTCCGGGTGAAGTTCAACGAGGCGCTGCGGGAGAGCTGGAAGACCAAAGTGAACTGGCTGGCCCACAACGTGTCCAAAGACAACCGGCAATAGCAGCCCGTCCGCTCGCTACCCCGCCGGTCCCGGGTCCGGGCAGGAGCGAACCACGCGTCCTGGGAGCCGGCACTGTTGGCCGCCCGGGCCTGGGAGCCTGAACTGCTCGGTGGGAACGAACTCACTGCCTTTGTTTACACTGGTTATTTATTAATGACTTGAAACGTTTCAGGAACTAAACAGCCATAGCGGACGTGCACCCCTAGTGCAGGGGAGGGCGCTGTCCTGCGGCCGGCCAGAGCCCTGGGCTCTGATGAGAAGACACTGTGAGGCAGCATCTGGAGGTGGCACCTTGTGGGGGACTGCACCCCGTCTTCCAGCTGGTGGGCTTGGACCCAGCAGACCCTCATCCCCCCCGGGAGCTGCCTTCTCCCATGGCTGCCGGGCGGCACGGGTCCTGGAGCCCGAGTTACCTGGTGCCTGCTGCTGGCCAGGGCGCCCAGCCGCCCGCTCACCCCTCCACCTCGTGCCCGATCCTGGCAGCTCCCCGAGGAAGCCTGGTACCCCTAGATTCAGGGACGCTTGCTTTCCACTTTTAAAGTGACTCTTGGGTACGGGAATCCTCTCATCTCTGCTGTAAAGTGGTTTTGTTTGCGGGTAAGAAAACAACAGCCAAACTACTCACTGACCCTCTGAGGGAGGGAACCTCAGCCCATAAAGTATAATATATGCTGGTCCCGGCGCATTAAACAAGCTCGATTAGCTCATCCTGGTGGTGGATCAAGGGAAAGCAGGTCAGAGGCCGTCGTGCCGTTCCCTGCAAGCTTCCTAAGGCAGGTTTCAGGGAGGGACGGGTCTCTTCCGGAATCTCACCTTCGAGAACCTGCCGAGCAGTCAGGTCCCTGTGGTGAGTTAGGGGTGCGGTGGGCCTTTCCG